ACTTATTATTTCCTGCCATAGTTAAAATTGTTTCTTGACCGTTCTGTACCTGCTGTTTTAGCTGTAGGACATACCAGCACCCACGCAGCTCTGGAGTGCTCTTGTACCCCTGGACCGTAGGCCAGAAGGCAGCAGTTGTGAATAGCTTTTTATTCTGTTTTATTCTGAAATGTGCTGACATTGTGCAGGCTGCTCTCCTGCACCTGCTCCAGGAACGGACAGAGGAGTTCAGGTCCTGGCTGCAAGTCCAGCACTTTGCACAGGAGCTAATTTCACATTAAATTAATGGCAAAAACTAGGAAATGTTGAGACTGTTAAGAGGCTCTTCTAAAAATATCAAAGTCCTGCAGGATCTCCGCCTCTCCCCTTCTGTTTGTCCCAGGTTCCCTTTTCCCAGACTCCAGCTGTTCCCAGCCAAAGCCGAGGAGCTCCCCTGATTATCACCTTTGCTGGGATGTGGATTGGGCATCTGACTTCCCACTTACACCAGCAATTAGAAGGTTGCCCTGAAAGGCAAAGTGTCAGACACTCTTGGTAGGAGTTTGTGAAATGCAAAGGGGGAAAAAAAAAGAGAGGGAGAGGAAATAAGGTCTCACCAGCAGGGTGAAGCTGCAACTTCTCATAGATTTTGAAAGAAAATGGGAGAGCAGCCTTGGTTCAAATGAAAGCGTGGAAGGATCAGACAGGGCAATGTAACTCAGCTAGCAGTGGCATTTAATATGGCTTGAAACTTTTTTCTCTCTCCTAAAATGTAATGGTAACAGAGAAAGTGCTGCTCTCCTGCCCAAGCCTCTCTCATAAGAAAAGCTTTTGTGAGACCAATAGATTTCCCCATGCCCAGCTCCATTAAATATTGCAGGACCTCACAGATCATCTTGTGAGCAGTGCCATGAAGGCAGGTCAGAGCTCACGCTCGCGAGCTTTAACTCAGACACGCTGCCACTGCGAATGCTTACACAAGAGCTTAACTTTAAGCGTGGGACTAACAGGGCTGTTGAAGCCCTTAATGTGAACAGCACACACCTCCTTCACCTTGAGCACCACGCGGGTGCTCTGTGCTTTCACTAGTGCAGGAGGATGCCCAATGTTTTAACGCCGGTTTTGCCTTAAAACACCTTTACATTTTTTGAAATCACTTCTGCTTATATGTTGTTCATTACGCTGCTGCACTGCTCTTCCTTTTTTTTTTTTTTTTTTTTTTTTCATTTCTCTTTCTCCCTTTCGTTTCTTTTTTTTTTTTTTTTTTTTTTTTACAGCACAGCATAAATGTTAATGCTGAACCACGCTGCTGCCAGGTACATAAGATGTTTTGTCTTTCCTCAGAGACTGTGGTGCCGCTCAGACGGAAAGGATAACATGACAGCTTGACAGCCTTTGTATGCGTTACAAGTTGTAGCAATATAAAAGCAGCGAGGTAGCATGCAGACCATATCACAGCAAATGCAGCCTGGATTGAAGATGACAGGCAGGGAGATAATTTCCCACAGCACAGGCTGATGTCTGAAAAAGCCCCAGGTGTGGCAGTATTTCATCCACAGCCTTCTGCATAGGAGTTTGCGCTGTAGAAACCTCTGGAGCCTTCCCCGCATCAGCCCGACCTCTGAGCCTACTGCATTTTCACAGCAAAGCCTGCTGGAGTCTGAGGAGCAATGTCCTGTCTCCCCAAAAGTGGGGAGTTTCAATCCAAATGTGCATTAAAAACTAGCCACAGCACCCATCATACTGAGATAATAGCACAACTGGTTAATTTTTAATTAAGAAGCTTAATTGACCAGCCGGGTTAGCTCAGTTGGTTAGAACATGGTGCTAATAACGCCAAGTTCACAGGTTCAGTCCCTGCTTACTGCAGGGGGGTTGGGCTCGATGATCTCTCAAGGTCCCTTCCAACCCAAAGCATTCTATGATTCTATGATTCTAATTTTTCAGCCACTTTAACAGATGATGGTGATGCTGTGCACAGTCAGGGTAGGAGGGTCTGCGCAATACCAGGAGTCCCCAGGAAGCCCCATGTGTGGCCGCTGGGAAGGGATGGGGGTACAGACTGCGGGCACAAAGAGATGGGGACGTGAGATGCCAGACATGGATGTTAGTGATGCCCAGCGTGGTGTGTAGCCACCCAGGCTATCTGTGCTTATAGCCTTCTGTAAATCACCTCTTCCCCAGGCCTCTGCTCTGTGCTCACCACCAGCCCCACGGCCCTGGGTGGCAGGCACCGCGCATGGGCTCGAGGGCTGGGAGCACAGAGGGGTGGTGGGACTGAGGAGGGAGATGCCGTGACATCTGTGTGGCTCCCCTAGCAATAAATAAGTATCCATGCTGGCGGCAGGGCTGGCAGGGCTGGATTGCTCACATATTTGTGCCCTGTCCCTGCACTGCAATACCCACAGTTCTCCCCACAGTAACAGGGGCTCTCCTTGGCCACAGCATCCCCCCTCCCCATCTCCCCCGGCTGTCACACATGTCCATACAGACCCATCACTCGCTGTTATGTACCTTGTCTCCACAGGAAACCAGAGCAAAGGCAGCCGGACACGGTGCAGGATCCTGGCGGAGAGGAGCAGAAGAGGGCTCAGTCCTCGTCCACCCCGCTGGTCCCAGCCCCGCATCCCTGCTGTGATGCTCTGCTCCCCACTTCCCGCAGCAGCCTGGCCCGGATTTCTCCCAGGCCTGGGGGATGATGTCCGGAGCCCAAGTGCTGGAGGCTGGAGGGGGAGTCAGGGTTAACGCTCATCATTCTCAGGCAGGAATCAGTTTCAAACGTTTTCTTCCCGACGAGTGTGTGGATAAATCGTCTGCTTTGTTCTTCACGGTGATCGCTGAGCTCATGGCCTTCAGGCTATGCCCTGCCCTGAGCCGGGCTGGAGAGGAACTGGGGCTGAATGCCAATGCCATTAAGATAGATGCTACATAGTCATGAGAAGGAAGTGGCCAGAGATCGATCCTGCTCATCCAATTCTGATTCCAGTAAGCCACAGTGCTGTAGCCCAGCCCTGGTGACTGGTGAGTCTGTGCTTCTGCCTTTTTTTCTCCCCTTAAAGCTCTTCTTTTGCCACAGGTGTCCGTTCACACAAGTGAAAGGTGCGAGCCTGCCCAGGGGCCAAGGTGACGGCAGGGATGCCTGGGTGACCTCAGACCTGGGGTCCTGCAGGCTAGCAGGGATATTTAACATCCCAGCCTTCCTGATGAATGACTCCAAGCCACCACAGAGTCCAACGGGTCCCTCTTTTCACCTGGTCCGTGGCCCATGGCTACCCTGTCTAGCCAGACAAACTCATTTCAGAGACCTCCCACCAGCAGCGGGTTCAGCCAGGGCCTCGGGGACCATGTCCCACAGAGATGGACAGCAGCGACCACTTCATCCCCAGAGCCGCCGGTATCTCAGTAGGCTATGAACCGAGGAGTCTGACACGAAGTGTGGAAATCATTATCGTTGGTGACACCCTGACCAACAGTTCGGTACAGTTCAAAAGGGATTGAACCACATTGTCATCGCATTTCTCCAGCGGATGTGTTGGCCAGATGTCCCTAAGGAAGGGTCAGGATTAAAACCTTCACCTGGAGGCAGCTCATCTTTTTCCGCACTACAGCTCCAGTCGATTGCCTGCAGGTTCTGGCACCGCACTGCTGCAGCTCACACGGAGAGCATCGCCTCTTGCCTGTCAGGTATGTTTCTAGGTTTTCTCTTTAAGAAAGTGTTGGCTTAAACTCTGCAGCAGCTCAGGGAGAAGCGCTGGCCGTGCGGGCTCTGCTCCACCTGCTGATTCAGCCCAGTCCCAGTCCCTGCCTGAGCAGATAAGCTTTACCAGAAGCGGGCAGGATCACACAGATAACCGAGAAGAGCTGTTGCTGTGTGTATGTTTACAGGAGCTGGGCACGCGGGTACATTCAGAAATATGACAGATTTTTTTTCCCTCCACTTTTAGACCTAAGAATAAATATAAGCAAACACATGGCTACTTTAATAATTATATTTTATTGTTTCCTTGAGTTTGAAAGCACACAAAACTTGGAAAATATCCCTAAATTGAAATAACTGTAATACACAACCAGAAAAATAAGGGCCTGATTCTACAAACTGTTACTCGTGAGAGCAAACCTAAGTCCTAATATTCCCATTGACTTAAGGACTCTAAATTCTGCCTAAAACTGTGCTAAGCCCATGGTGCAGGGGCCAAAAATAGAATCCTTTGAGTTCCAGACAATATTTTATGTACATGTATATATATGTATATGTGCATACGATACATACACACATATATGTGTTCCTTTGGGCTCTAGACAATATTTTACGTACTTATATGTATGTATGTAGACAATATGTATATATCCAACATGTATGTAGACAATACATACATATATTCATATACTATATATATGTACACATGTGTATGTGTGTGTGTGTATACAATATATACATGTAAGTGCTTCTGCTCTGCAATTCACCATAAACACAACTTGGACAGACAAGGACCAAAACTTATGAAACGCCATGAGTCTAAGAATGAAAAGCTGAACCCATGCATTACTTCTTCACCTGGCGATGATCACTCCTTCTTTGCCTATAGCTGTTTGCAGTACTCCCGGGGTGGGGACTAAAACAAATTGGACGCAGCTCCGTCACATTCAATGAAATTTGGCTAGCATCAAGGGGGCCTCGAGAAGCGTTAGGCTCCATAGGTACCCCACACATAGGTATGTCTGAAGATAGATGCTCCTCTGAGCCCATCTATATGGACAGTGCCTTTAAGTGCACCTTCTCTGCAGGGTAATGGGGCAGGTGGG